TAAAAACATTTTTCGATTCAACACACTCTTTTTACATTTTTCCAAATTTCTTTGGAAAATCTAGCTTTTCCGCTTTCGTAAAAAGAAATTTCAAGTGATACTAATCGAATTGATTAAAAAAAGTGCACCATTATGATTTATTATTTACGCTCTCCTAATGGTCATGYGAAATAAATAACKGTTATTAAAAGATGTTCACGCTGACCGATCATTAGCAATATAAATATTTTAGTAGGTACCTACTAAATAGTACTTAACCTATACATTAACAAACAAAAGAAATATTGAAACCATGTACTCCAATATTACCTAAATGTTGGTTTAAGTCGATTGTTTGTAAATCGCTATTTCCAAGTAATTACTGTAATTATTTAACTGATAGTAAATTTAGTACCTACTACCTATTCAACAATTATTGATGTTTATTTCTTAAATTAGAATTACGGATTTTATTTAATTTACCATTATATATAMATGTATGCAAGGCTGGGCATTAACGCGTTAATCAGATAAAGTTAAGTTGAAAAGTTAAGTTAATTTAACTTTGTAACTTAATAAGTTATTTTTTTTTATGTTTATTAACTTACTTAATAACTTTAGGAGCTTTTGAATTAACTTGAGTTAATTTTACATTTAAACAAGTTAAGTTAATTTAATTTAATTTTGTGAAYTATTGTAGGAATACAAATTGCTGGTAGGTACACATTTTATAAAGTTATAAGTATGCTAACAAAATGTGTACTGTTAGCTTTTGCACACATAAAATAGTAATAGTTCTTTGGTCTAATAACATGAACAATTTTAGGTACCGATTATTTTAATTTTACCTATAAGAAAACAAGAAACTTTTTTTAACTTTACTTGAGTTAAGAAGTCAATATTACATTTTGGTTAACTTTCAACTTAATTCAATTGATAGAACATTTTGAATTAATTTTTAACTATTAACTTGATTTAGATTTTAATTTAACTTAACTTAACTGAGTTAAAAAAAATCTTTAACTTGTCCAGCCTTGCATGTATGGTATATTTAATTATAGGATAAACTAGAAAATATTGTTTTATTACATTATTATGAAAAAAAAAAAACTATTAAAATTTAAAATTACTCTTTAGACACTTTCGCTAGTGATCAGTATTAAAGTGTTTTTGTTATGTTACATAATATGTTTGAGAAAGAAACAATAATCGCACAGTAGCAGTATCCTGATCCTCTTAATGTGCAGCACATGTAGGACTTTAATGAAAACAGTAAAGGTTTATAAGAAAATAGTTTCAAAACATACGTATCTGACAATCATAAAATTAATTAGGAATATCATATTTTCGGCTACTTACATAGTTCGTAGTTGATTCATATCATCGAAAATTCCATCTTCTATGTTAACTAAATTTTTTAGATTTCTTAATGCTCTGTAAATAAATACAAATAATTATTAATATCGGTAGTAATATTTAAAAAAAAAACTCATATTATGTGTTTCAGTATATCYTATTTTGCTCAAATCAATATTATGTGTAATTTTATAGTTACATGATAATTATTATTTTAGACCTAGTGAGACTGTGAAATGTATATATAATTTATTATTTTGAATTTATATTATAATAAGTCGTTGAGGTTTATTTTGTTTTAAATCAGTATTGTTATGTGTCTAATATATCACACAATATAATTGTTTCTTTTTAGTTATAAGTTATTATCTATCACTATTTGATTATTGTTATTTGTTAACAAGTCACTATCACTAAACCATCWTACCATATATCATATTATGATCTAAGCTTCACACAATAGAAATAATAGAACAATTAACTATATATCCAGTCCTCAAATCTGTTTATTTATTATCTAAGTTCATTTTACCAGTTATTTTCGTTGTATTGCATCGAATTATAGGTAGGTCAGAACACTACAGCAACCAATATCCATTTTTAAATGTTATACAATCCCAAACTTATTAAGTACTATTTAATATTTAAATCATTATCTTTAATATTTTAATATTACTAAATTTGTAATACTACCCAAGTAGTCAGAGGCGTAACTTGGAGTCAATCCTGGGGGGGGGG